ATTTTAGCTTCCTAGGACTCACCAATACGGAGAAACAGAGATGACTGTTGAGTGTTGAGTAAGTGACTTTCCCAAGATTTACATCAAAAGAGAACCTGCTCTCGTGTAATTCAGATTATTGTGGAACGTCAAATACTCAGAAAATATGATAGAACATTGAATCCATGAAAATACCTTCCAAAAAATATTTTAGAGGGGCACATAATTCGGCATCAACTGAGGCTTCTCACCCCACAAGTTTCTGCTGAAGAAACACAATATGTTATGTTCAGATGCTATTTGAGTTTGAGTCTCACAATATAGAAATTATTGAAATGTTTCCAATATGTTGTTTCAAAAATTATTTGCGTTTGAAATAAGCCTGTGAAGAAGGCACCCAAAAGAGTTCTTTCAGTCTATGACTCTGCATCTTCCTGCAAGAAATTTGGATTCACTTCGTACTGGATTCGATTAATTCCAAGGCGGCTTGATTGTCCAGGCACACAGCTGTTTGGGTTGGATCCTTCCTGCACTGACGAGAGGTACTACCTCGAAACCGGTCTGTAGGTGATCTACTCGCTGGATATGAGAACGGTAATGTCGATGAATGAACAAAAAACATCTGCAGGACTAACATATGTGAGGTATCTTGCTTGAATGTCTATCATTTATAATTCAATGTATAGGTATGTTGGGAGAGATTATTGTTTCGAAATTTTATTTTAAAATAATAATTTTCATATGCTTGAATGTCTTCCTTTGATATTTGTGTTCTCTTGCCTGTATGTACTGATATTTTTTTATATCTAACTTCTTGGCGCACCTTCTATATTTCAGTCTCTCCATCTTACTCTACATACATCTCTTTTACAATGCCTTTATGTATCTTACTTGCATCTATATTTGTGTCTCTTTATTCCCAAGGTTTCCATTTCAATGTCTTTGTTATGGTTGTTTCTATGTCCATGAGAGATACACATGCCTTCATCTGTATGGAATCAGTCTATATTTTGATGAAGACACTTTATTGTGAGAATATAGATAATAGAGAGTTCAAACTATCGATTAAAGATGATCGGCAGTTTCGAACTCATTCGAAGGATATATTAATTCATCAATAATTATACTTCAATCAGTGAAACAAATATTTCGCCAAGTTTCTATGTCTTTGTTATGGTTGTTTCTATGTCTATGAGAGAGACACATGCCTTCATCTGCATGAAATCAGTGGATACTTTAATGGGGACACTTCATTGTGAGATTATAGATAACCGGGAGTTCAAACTATCGTTCATAGATAATCGGCAGTTTCGACCTCATTCGAAGATAGAATAATTTATCAATATAAAAATTATACTTCACTCAGTGAAACAAATATTACGCCAGGTTAATTCTAGTACTTGAAGTAATTTGCACTGCCTACGTTTTTCTTTTTTTTTAACACCAACCCACCACAGTTCTGGAAAAAGCTTCTGGAATAGCGAAATCGTCAAAAATTTATATAAATAAAACGTTGAGTATGTTTGTCACACTTAAAAAATGTGTCTAGTTGCACTCCCACTCTACATTAGACGCCATTAGAATGTTTTGACGAAGTGCCAGTGTATAAAAATATACAGGCAAACAAAAATGCAACTGGAAATGTAACGGCATTCATTTGAATACAGGGTGAGTCGTTTTTTGATATAATACTGGTCAAACATTTTTCAGATAACATATTCAACTTCTACGCATGAATATACTTGAAAAAGAAAAATCTGAAATTGATAAAATGATAAAATGAAAGTGATGATGGGTGTCTATCTGGAAGTAATTAATTGAAATGATACTTTGAATTATCAGGAGTGCTATCAATATATTGTGGATGATACTGAATCAGTTAGTTTTAAGAAAGTTTTGCTCAACATAGATATTTATCTATGTTGATCTATTAGTCCTTTGTGCTTCATTATGTAGATGGGACAGGTCATATTTCTTAGGTTTAATATAAATGTGTAATATTATAAGAAGTCATTTGAATGAAATATAATGTGACACACTTTGTAAAACAATCACATACATATTAAAATATAAGTAAAAAATAGAAATAGATAAATAAACAAAATGTTATGATATATACGTTACAATGACAGTGATCTGACATTATCAACTGCAAGTATGAATTCATCTACTGTGTAGAAACCTTTTTCTGATAGAAACACTTTCAACTGTTTTTTTGAAAACTTGAGGTGGCAGTGTCTTCATATCGCATGGCAGTATATTAAAGAGACGGATACCAGCAAACATATACTTTGCGTGATGGTGTTTTTGGGTGATGAGCATATGGTTATTCCTAGTATGATAATTATGAACTTTCGATCTCGACTCTAGAGTTGTCTTCTATTTTCAAGGATATACGTCAATGTTTTTAGAATGAACAAACAGGCAACATTAAGTATTTTATTTTGACTAAAAATCTCTTTACATGGCGTTCTGTAATCTAGATTAAAAATTAGCCTCAGTAATGCTTTCTGTTTTATGAAAATTCTATCCACAGTTGCTAAACCCCAGAGAGCAATGTTATTGTAAATAATGGACTGAAACTTAGCGAAATAAATTGATATCAGTGCCTTAGTATCTAATTTATTTTTAAGGTATTTAATGAGACAATACGTTCAATGTCTAGGATGGCACACGCCGCAGATGACCCAAACTTCGGTTAAATCTGAGTATAAGTACCCACAATAGATGCAAGCACAGTCTTCATCCTCTTCTTGGGATGAACTATCTTCCGATTCAGTTTCTTTTTTGCACCTTTTGGTTTGACGCTTTTTCTGTAGGTTTTCCTTGTCAGTTGTCTTTTTTAATCTTCTTTGCAGTCTTTTTTCCAGGTTTCTTTATTTGTTTTTTACCTTTTTCAGTCACTTGAATATCAGTCTTGATTATAGTATCCCATTATACCCCGATCATCTTGCCCCGATCCATACGTAGGTAAAAAAGATGACGCAATTCCAACCTCAAACTTTACCGGCGAAAAAATCTGGTTTGAATTTAATGTTTTGGACTACTATAATAAGCTCGGGATTGAAATAATATAATAACTCAGGTACTTACATGTCTGTACATCAGTTTTCGAATCAAATATCGCGTAAAAACACTTGCAATATCACTTTTTTCTCTCTGCAACGCAAAAACGAGTTCTAACCTGTTCGCTCTGCCTGGACACACTAGCGGAGACTGAAGTTCGTGCAAATGGCGCTGTCGCCGCTCCGAACACGATAACTATTCACGCACACAAACTTACTTCCCGTGCTGCCCCGAACTTCATCTTGCCCCGGTCTCCCCTAAATAGTTTTTTTCTTTTTTTAAGTTGACGTTTTCCTTGTTATTGTATATTGGAAGATATGTTTTTTCATCTTTTTTCCATTGTACCTTTCAACAAGTGAAATATTTGATAATAAATAAATAAATACACATATATACATACAGATATGATTGAATATGATCATCGACATGAATATACCTAAAAAAACTCATCAGATAATATATCTATGAAAATAATAAATATTTTTTGAATTGAACTCGAAATTTTTGTTTATTAAATCATAATAAAGCATTCCATAGCTTATTGTAGAACTTGATGCCTTTATAATGAATCGAATTTTGCCCAATATTTGTTTTCATTTTCATCAATTTCAGATTGCCTGAATATCTTGTCAATTGGTTGTATAGGTCACTACTGATTTCGAAAGTCAAATTTGAATGTATAAGCTTATTTTTCGCCAAATGAATGAAGGTAATAATTTGAATTTATGTACGGATGACAAATCTAATAGTGTTTTGGTTTAAACAAGGTGACTTTCAATTTGAGGTATTTCAGGGGTACACCATCTCTTATTTTAAATTGATTTCCATTTATGGGAGCTATTTTTCTTCTTATTGTTTCAATGTATTTTCTCCATAATACATTTTCATCTAGAATAAGTCCAAGAAATTTAGCACTAGGAGAATATTCGAAATTTTTATTATAGAATTTAATTGGATCTTTTTTTAATCAATTGATATAGACCTTTTTGATATGAACATATATGGCTCAATAAAACATATTTTTCCTGATACAGAGATGGTAGAGAGCAGCAATTCAATAATATATATTTTGTTATAAAATTTTCACAAAAAAAATTGCTGATTGTTTCTTTCGTGTTCTAATTTGAAGTTTTCAGCTTTATCATTTTTGCTTGGATTGCTGAATAGAATGAGATATTTCAAGACTGTTTAGCTATTTCTTGAAAGCGGAACATTTTATGAATTTGTTCGGAATTGCTATTGGGGCTTTTTGACCAGAATTAGAAGTGAGTTGAGAACTATTATCACAAAGCCAGATGCTTCTATGTTTTCTATATGAGCATCAGATTTTAGATTCAACTAAAAAAAAAGTTAAAAGTTTTTGAACGAGTAAAAGACATTAAATAAGATTCATCTGAGTTGAAATATATTTTTTGAAATTATAACCAATAAAAATGAACTCAAAATCATCTGTACAAAAAGGTACAGTTAACTTTCTAAATAAAATTAATTTTTTTCGAGAAAGCTATGTGAATTTTCCATACAAGACAGCTGTTGCGACCTGCCTCGAGTGTATCAACAAATTTTTATCAAATTATATTTTTCAATATTCTCCACAATATTGATTCACATTTTTTGTTCTAGAAACCAGAGACATCCCACAGTGTTTCATAGTACTCACACTACTTCTAGCGAATCAATTCAAGTTACCTGATGAAGAAATCTGTAGACGATTCCAATATACCCAAACTTCACTAAATTCTAAGTTTGAATCATTCACAAACAGATGTCGCCGCAAGTAACAAAGATTTTTTTTTGGTGTAATGAACTGATATCATTTTAAAGTTCTTGAAATATTTTCATAATGTTTTTTGGATTTCAAAAGCTCGTCAATTAGTTTTGTTAACAATTGAATTTGAAACTTTTAAATTGTTTGTAACAATGTCTAGATCTCAATAAAGTTATATTTGTGTCAATAAGTTGACTGAACGTTTAATGAAATATGCAAACACATACAACAAGTGAAGAGGCAGACACATACACGACTATTTCTTTTTATCTTTCCCTTTCTTGGGAACTTTGTCTTTTCCTTTTTTCTTACTCTTGTCGACTTCAGTTTCAGCTGATTTCTCGCTTTTACCTTCTTTTGGTTTTTTCTCTTCTTTCGTTTTTTTCTCCTTCTTTTCCTTGCCCTTTGGTCGAACCCAATCTTCGAATATACTTTGGAAAAACCGGTCAGTGGCAGCATCTGTTAGAGGAAACATAAACTGTTTGTTCTCCCTTGCTTTTTTCCCCTCTTCTTCCTGTATCTTCAATTCTCTCTCAATGCGGGCCAACTCTTCTTTTTCTTCCTTGCTCATAGGAGCTGTTTGTGCCATCTGGACTTTCTTTCCCTTTTCTCTTTCATCCTTTTTGGGTGTTTTTGATTTTTTGCTTTTATCAGTGGACTTGGAAGCCTTGCTTTTGTCAGTGGACTTGGATGTCTTGCTTTTGTCAGTGGCCTTGGATTTCTTACTTTCATCAGTAGTCTTGGATTTCGTAGACTTTTTAGTGGACTTTGACGCCTTGCTTTTCTTTTCTTCTTTGGGTTTCTTCTCTTTTTTGGGGGGCTGCTTTTCTTTCTTTGGTTTTTGCGGTTTTGGTAACTTTGGTTTCTTGACCTTTTGTGGTAATGGCTTCTTTAATTCGCCTTTGAAGCGTTTTGGAATATACCACTCTTTGTTTACTTCTTGTGTTATCAGGTTATGACGATTCCGAAAGGCAGTTTTTAGAAGAAAAAAGTGGAACGTATCGTAGAAACTGAAAAAAAAATTAGTATATGTTTTTTGGAGCCATTGTAATGTATTGAAATTGAGGTTGTAGAAAAATGAATAAACCAAATTCTCTTTTAATTAGGAACGTAGACAAATATCTCTGATAATCATGAGGTTTCGTTAAAAAAAATTACAGTTCTAGTACCAGGTGAAATTTTGGAATGTTGTTCAGTATTTATATTCACTATTATTTGTTTACTCTCTGTTTTACAATGTATATAGTAATATTTAGTTTGATGTTCAGTTGTTGTAACTAAAACAAGGAGAATAAAAAAAACTTTTTTGACTGACATTGAATTTCAATATTTCGTTCTTGGAGAACGGATTCAACCTAGATATTTCAGAAAAAACATAACATTAATTGGTCCTTCGAGCCGGATGGTTTCATTCATCTTTCTACACGATTCAGTAGAAGACGAGGTTTTCCGCAAGAGATTTATAGTGACAATGGAGGGGATTTTAAAGGAAGTGACAGAGAACTCCAGAAAGGTTTGAAATCGTTTGACCAGAATGAAATGAAAAAATTGTGTACGCTGAAAAATGTGAAGTGGTTTTTCAAACCGCCATTAGCTCCTTTCATGGGTGGGTCATGGGAGAGTTCGATAAAATCCATCAAGAAAAATGTGTCGGAAGTTCTAACAACAAGATATCTCCAGGAATATGTTTGAAGGACAGTATTTGCAGAAGTGGAAAATGTTTTGAACTCGATACCACTTACCCATGTACCCTCTGATCCAGATGATATGGAGGCTCTAACTCCAAGTCATTTTTTGATTGAAACTCATCATTCAGCGTTACCTTGTGCTGAAACCGATGAAAGGAATTTGTGTTTATTGAACAAATGGAAGGCAGCACAAAAGCTCACAGATTTATTCTGGCAAAGGTGGGCTAAAGAATATCTACCATCTCTAGCAAAACGAGGTAAATGACACCAGCAGAGAAGAAATGTCAAAATAGGGGATATTGTCCTATTTTATGACCCTAATAGTCCGCGGAACATTTGGCTGAAAGGAAGAATTACAAATGTTCACCCTGGGAAAGATGGCAAAATCAAAGTGGTTGATGTTGCTACAGCTTCTGGAACAACATTTAAGCGAGCTGTATCTACACTTTCCCAAGTCTCCCGAGAATAATCAGATTGGAAGTAATTTTTTTCATTCAGATCAATTACTGCGAGAGAGAATGTTCAGTCTAGTCAAAAGTCCCCTCCCCCCCTCGTATCTTTGGAACGGGTATACTTATAATAATGAAATTTGGAGGGTGGAAATAAACGGATGTAGGTTTCTTAACTGGTCATAACAGGTGACGCAATAGTCATAAATGACGTCACAAGGCCACTGTGACCAAAAATTTTAAATGGGACCCTATGGCAAGTGACAGCTCGTTTGAAAGGTATTGAAAATACCTATTCAGTCATACCAATTTTGTTTGGGTTTCGGCTGATTTTGATTGATGAATTGAAGAAATATGAAAATTATTGTTTCGCATTTAATTAATAAAGATTTTAAAGTACGCCTCTGGTTCATTGTCAAAAAGGTTGACGTGTTTGAATTATCTACTTGTCAAAAGTGTTTATACCTTGAAAATTTACCTAAGCTATTGTTTAACGAGACGTTTAAGTGTTTACATAGGCAAAATGGTACGTACTGTAGCCGACAAAGTAGCAGCTATCTTAATAATTGGTGAATGTAGAAACAATTTCCATGCAGCGGAACGACTGTTTAATGAGAGGTACCCCGATCGCCCTATATCGAGGGTTTATTTGAGGGAGCTTCTTCGGAAGTTTGAAGCATCAGGTAGTGTTCAAGATGCCAAACGATCTGGTCGACCAACAATTAGTGATGACAAAAAAATTGACATACTTGGAGAAATGGTAGTGAACCCTACTTCTTCCACAGCCCAAGTTGCGTCTATCTGTGAAGTCAGTCAAAGGACAGTACATAGGGTGTTGGCTAAAAACAAATTTCATCCATACAAATTAAAAATGGTGCACCAACTTTCAGATGATGACCCCGACCGAAGACTAGAATTCTGTGAAACTATGTCCGATAAAATGAACCAGGCTACATACAGACAATTTGTTTTAGTGACGAAAGTACTTTCTTTCTTAATGGAAATGTTAACACTCAAAATGTGAGGTATTGGAGTGATACAAATCCTCACATCTTTCGTGAAAAACATACTCAATTTCCAGAAAAAGTAAATGTTTGGGCAGGTATTTTGGGAAACCACATAGTTGGGCCTCTTTTTCTCAATGCTAACTTAACCGGTGAATTGTATCTGGAGATGTTACAAACTGATATTGAGGCGTTAATTCTTGAAATTCTAGAAGATAATCCAGATGAATTCGACAACTTGGAAATAACGTTTCAACAAGATGGTGCTCCTGCACACTATTACGGTGCAGTAAGACGTTACCTAGATGAAGAATATCGTGGTAGATGGATTGGACGACGACGTTCGATCGAATGGCCAGCTCGGTCACCGGACCTTACACCATTAGATTTTTTTCTATGGGGGTACTTGAAATCTAAGGTTTACGCTACAGCACCTGACAGTATTGCCATTCTGAAACAACGAATTGTTGAAGAATATAGGGCAATTTCCGCTGACACACTGGGACGAGTACGACAAGAGTTTAGCAATAGGATGCATTACTGCCAGGAAGTAGATGGAGCACATTTTGAACACTTATTATAAGAACTGGTTCTTAAATCTTTATTAATTAAATGCGAAACTATAATTTTCGTATTTCTTCAATTTATCAATCAAAATCAGCCGAAACCCAAACAAAATCAGTATGACTGAATAGGTATTTTCAATACCTTTCAAACGAGCTGTCACTTGCCATAGGGTCCCATTTAAAATTTTTGGTCACAGTGGCCTTGTGACGTCATTTATGACTATTGCGTCACCTGTTATGACCAGTTAAGAAGCCTACATCCGTTTATTTCCACACTCCAAATTTCATTATTATAAGTATACCCGTTCAAAAGATACGAGGGGGGGAGGGGACTTTTGACTAGCACTGTATTTACTGTCATTTGTTTATTCTGTTTTACCCTGTATATAGTAATATTTAGTTTGATGTTCAGTTGTTTTAACTGACGCAAGGAGAATAAAGAAAACTTTTTTGATTGACATTGAATTTCAATATTTCGTTCTTCGAGACCAGATTTAACCTATATATTTCAGGTAAAACATAACAGTTGGAACTATTCGGAAAACAGGCAACAAATTTCTGGAAATTGGAAGTAGTTGAAATTCAACACAATGCTCTTGATCGGCGGTGTGCCCCAAGGTTCTTTATTATACCCCATACATTTTTAATTTATACAAACTCAGTATCAATTCTGAAATTGACGGGTCACGTTGAATCGCATAATATCAATTCATCATATTTGTTGGAAACATACATGGATATGTTCAAAATGATCTAACTGATGAATCAGTTAATATGCATACCTCCAGAAAAAATATCAGTAGTAGTGACATTTCACTGTCTTTAAATGTCGAAAATATATCCATAAACTTAACATGCTTACTTCTTGTACGAATATTGATAATTCAAATTGTGTGATGCAAATTTAGAAAATGAAATATTTCTGTTGTCAAGTATTTTGTATAGAATTGAAATGTATTTTCAAGTTTGTACAGAAAATAACAGAGTACCTTTCTTGTATACAAATGTCTCCATGAGTGCATGGAGAATCAGAACACAGGAGTTTTGTGAGGGCATGAGTGAGAGATTAATGCAAAATCCCGAGCTGCTTTATAACAATCTGTTTTTCGGACGAAAGCTCATTTTATTTAAATGGTTGCGTGAACCGTCACAATTGCCGTTATTGGTCGGATGAAAATCCAAGACAATACGCAGAAATACATACCCAACATCCCCAAAAGTTGAATGTCTGGGCCGGAATATTAGGCAATCATATTGTAGATCCATTTTTCATTGATGGAAATTTAACCGGTGATTCTTATTTACCACTTCTTGAAGAAGCAATAAAACCTCGTATAGTTGAAATAATTGAACAGGATCCAAGATTTTGAAATGAATTTATCCATTTTCAACAAGACAGTGCACCACCACATTATGCCCAGCAGGTTCGAAATTTTTTGAATAATCATAAGGATAATGGATTGGCAGAAGAGGTCCAATTGAATGGCCAGCACGATCACCAGATTTAACACCACGGGACTACTTTTTGTGGGGATATTTAAAATTTCAAGTTTATGCTACACAGCCAGTCAATTTGGATGAATTACGTCATAGAATTATTGATGAATCCCGAGCTATAACTCCTGAGATGTTGAATAATGTAAGAGCAAAATTCGAACAAAATCTTTATCGTTGCATGGAGCAACATGGCGCACATTTTGAACATTTACTCCAAATTCCCTATGTGAGTTACCCTTATTAGGTGTTACTTTTTTTGTGTGTGCTTTAAAAACAATTATTGGGATTTATTAACCCTAAAACAGTTTTATAAACTTTTCTGGGTCATCAGCATTCAAGGAAATCAGCAGGTTGTAATTCGTTGTGTAGGTAAGCTTTTAGAATGATTCACTTTTTTATCAGAATCATAAAATATCCACGTCAAAAGGCAGCCTTCATAAGGAGGTGCCACTCAATTCACCTAAAATGTGAGGGTGGTAACCAACCACATCCCCGAAAAAATCTCCTCGTAATAAACAAGTAATTCTTACTTTTTTACGAAATCAAATGGACACGTATTAGCAGGTTGTCATGAAAAGCAAAAATTTATTTTTTTTATAAAAGTTCTGAACGTAAACTGTACCTTAAAAACAAATTGAGTTGAACTCAATAAAAATACCCTTAAATCTTCAAATTATCTCGAAAACTAATCGTTACAAAAAATTACTTTTAACAGAGATGTAAAGGTATTCGAAAGTCCTTCAAAACAATTTGCCACTCGAGCTACTTTCCCCATCTAAATAAGGGTCGTCGGATGCACCCCTTCG